CACTGGTCAAGCTATTCTAAACAGAAAGAAGCAAAGGAATTCCACATAAAATCACCGTGCAAGATGACGGGTTGCACTTCGGAGGAAAAAGTCTCGGAAATGTGTCTACTTATGTTACTCAGTGCCGACAGCTGATCGTTAGTTGGGAAATTCGAAGAGCCAATAAGTGTGATAGAACGTGAATATTCTCGAGTGGGCATCATTATGCTGCAGGATACCTCGTTTCACGTCGATGTTGGAGATGCAGTCATTGAACTTGACTGATTTTGCTCTTATCATGTTGACCGCCAATGTACAAATAGGAACTGCAGTGGTGACATTATCATTTACATTAACTCTTCATGGTGCACGTCGATTAAAAGCATTTTACAATACAGCTGGCAACGCATGAGTTGTTTAATCGTTAAATGTGAACCAAAACACCTTAACAACCATCGTTTGATTTTATTGGCAAACATCCATACTTCCTCCAGCTGTCCCAACTCTGAAGTCAAAGAATATTACGATGGATTTACAACTGCTGTCCTCGGCTACCTAGAACTCTCCTTGTGCATAGTTGCCGACGATTTTAACATATCTGCGAATCTTCGGCTAAGGAACATACTGCAGTCTCCAACCAGGTAAGATGCAATCCTTGCCATGGTATATGTTAACAACCTGAAAGTGTTTTCTATCTGTAATGTGGCGCCGCTTGGGATCTCTAATTATGCCATGGTAAAGTTATCTCCCGTTATATATACCGAGATAAAACAAAAAGATCGAAGTGGAGACAATGCCTTCCCCAGAACATTCAGCGGTTGCGTGAAACCATTGCCTCCACCGAGTGTAGTTTATTTTACGATGCGGACGTATAGAAGGATTGTGACCAGAGAACCGGTTACTTAAAGTTCTGCTTCGACACCTGCTGTACAATTGAAACAATTTTCACCCGTACCAGTAGACACTTGTCTCAAACCATTGCGCATATATAAAGAAAAAGCTTTAAAACGCAAAGACGTAACATCAGTAAAATTTCTATCGATTGATATAAAAGTCAAATTGTGTCTCCTCAACCATATCTGCGTTCAAAACATACTTGGAAACAATAATCAGCGAGAAATATGAAAGATGTTAAAGCAGTTAAGCGAAGTTACCCGCGAAGTCGCATTCAACTCCTGATGTGAAAGGAATAAACCTCAATTTTTGTGACTAGGAAAGTACTTCATTCTTTGATATATCCTCAGCTGACTAAAAACTACTCTCAGATAATCTGCCTTCTGGGAACAACCTAGCGGTACACAAAGAATTAGTCGGGTTGCGATTGGACAAAACACCTGGTACAGATAATTGGTTTCCTGTCATTCTCAAGTAGTGTGCAAATTAGCTGGCACAGCCCTCGTCAACTTGTACACATCGTGCTTCAAGCAACACAAGATAGCTAACAGTTGGCGAAGTGAAGGCATCACCCAAGTGTTAAAGAAAGGAACCTGCAAATATCGACTGGTGGCTTGCTTTGAAGACCATTCAGAGATTTTCACTGAAAAGAATTTCAGACCAGACCAATTTGGATGACCATTGTCAGTTTGCATATCGCAATTCAAGACTCACCTTAAATGCAGTAGCATGTCTGATACATACTGTGCGCTCTTCACTGGATAATAAAAGCAAATCCATCCGCATCTGCCTCCTATAGTTTAGAAACGCTTTCCGTTGCGTGAACCGTTAACTGATGTTACGTGATCTGTCAGATTCTGGAGTTTAAACATAAGTTGTTTTACTGTTGAAAAAGTATTTTACAAAGCGTGCCCAGTTTATCAGGTTTTCCAGGAAAACCTCTTCTTCACTCACTCCGAATGCTGGTGTTCTTCAGGGAGCCATTTTGCCCATTCCTAATTTCGCTGCAGAAGCCATTTTGCTGAGGTATGTGGATGACGTAATCGTTGGTGTCCATCATCCAAACATAGAGTCGTCGACCAAAACATGGAATGATGGAGCAATGCTTTATGATGGGTATAAAAAGCAAATGCATAGCAAGTCCCGTGTGAGGGCTAGGGTCGAAATTACAGGATAAAAAACAGTGTCGGTAAAAGAACGCGCTAGCTGCATGACTCACCAAGGGGTTTGCATTAGCACAAGTGAGTATTTGTGCCCGGAAGTCAGGAGAATAGTGACATTGTCCACTGTTTGCCATACGCTAATGCCATCAACTGATGATCATGGGTTATATCATGTAGTGTAAATGTGTAAGGGTATCGTTAACGCGATTTGTGAATAGTGATAAGGTGTGGGTATTTATTACACGCACCGGGAGGGATTTACCGGGATGTGATACGCGAAGGGAAAAAACGTTTCGTCAGCATCACCGCGTGGCCAACTTAAACTGATGAACCCTTAGAAATGTGTTTTCATTGAGTCTAAAAAGATGGTGGAAAGTGTAGTCAAGTTAGAAGCCGATAAGGTCCGCTGTACACTTTTAGAGTTTTCAGCCTGAGTGGGTATGGAAGGTGGAAGAAACTATGTTCTTCGTCGCGTTGCATTGGGCAGTATCGAGCGTGATGTGGTGGTGCTTCTAATAGAGTTGCCACACTTGGGTAGCGTATTTTGCGTGCGGCCTCACGTACGCGACATGTATTATGGGAAAGATTGATGCATCAAGCCTCCCGCACGTCCAGCGCAGCAGGTCAAAGTGCTGATCTGTGTTCTTTGGTGCCTTTTCAGTCTGCCCCTAACGACCAAAACCATCTTGCACAAGCACGCCGAGATCGCAATCATGCTGCAAAATTTGTGATCCTAGCCGGTGGTTGTGAGTACTCTGATGACGTATGCTCAGAATTTTGCACTAGGTGCCGTTGAACTGTAGCACATTCTTGATGGGCTATAGGTACGTATTACCCAGACCATCTTGTAGAGTCGTGTGATCCAAGAGAACTTCACAGATTGGTTCGAATCCCGATGCTTACAGTTGAACACCGCAAAATACTAGGTCATTTTTCGCTGTCCAAAGGAACTCGTACCAGCAAACTCTAACGCACTGACCGCAACTTTGCATTCACGGTGATTGTTTGACCTCTACTAATTCAGTAAAATTCCTAGGAGTGACACTGAGCAGTGGGCTTACCTGGTCCCTTCATGTGAACGAAACATTAACTAAAGTCTGGAGACTCATTCCATCTTAAACGTCTCAGGTCCTCTTGCGTACCCCGATTTTTGATCCAGCGTTTTATCGCTGCATGTGTGTTACCGTACTGGACATATTGCTTTCGTGTGATCTTTCCTGAGTCAAGATTTCAAAGTAATTGCCAGATCAGTGAAGCATCTAGCTTAGTACAGTGGCATTTCAAAGCTGAAGCTCATTAGTATCATTGAAGCAAGCCATACCAACTGCCGTAAAAAGTTTGCATCTAAAATACTTACTGAAATTAGCCACCCCTCCACAAAGCGTTGTCCGAAGGCGGATTAACATCCGCGAAAAGACAAAGCTACAAGACTTTATACGCCCGCACAAGAGTCTATCGTACATCAATAGTTCCCTGCGTGTCACGTTCTTTGACGGATAAAATTCAGTCATTCAAGTAGTGGTCCGTTAATTTCTTCGGTGATAATTGCTCTAGCAACCTTTTAACGATTGTGGTTTCCTGTCTATCCATATGTACCAGTCATTTCGCTATTTATCCCTGTCACTGACGTGTGTGTGTCAGAGCTGAATACTAACTCTTAATGGGTGCATAAAGCACATGCTTGACTTGACTTGGTACGAATAACTGAAGATACAAAAACTAACACCCAACACAATGGATGTGAGGCACGCAAACAATCGCACCACTTAAAGATTGAGTCGCTTCTTCATAGAGGACAGGTGTTAGGTGCATTACGACAATTTATACGAAGACGCGATTGAAATCCATCGACTGTCTGCCCAGGAAAGGCGTGCCCGAGAAATACGTAAATGTCAGAGCATTTATGCGCCCAATTCAAGCAGAGTGAGGGCCGATGGAATAATGTCGCCGCTCTTCGAACTATTCAGCAGTGTGTGACAGAGACGCTTGCAGTCGTCTTTCGTTTTTAATTTCGCTATCGATGAGCTCATAGAAACTACGTCCATTGGGACACGACTTATATGTGGAGGTGCTTCCAAGTGATCGACTTCTTGACTTGGAGTATGCTGACAATATTGCCCAAACCTATGACAACTCACAAACGTGCCAAGCAGCACCGGCCAAATTGGCACTAGCTATCAGTAGATTCGGGGTTTGCTTGGCACCTTCCTCCAAAATTGGCAGAGACACCCCCGCATTGATCTTTGGTGGGGATCACCTGGTAATCGTTCGGAAATTCAATTGCCGGGGCAGCTGTATCATCGCCTGTGGGATCGAACCGTGCAGCAAAAGCTGGAGGCGCTTTCGCTTATCTCCAGGCTCCATATCACTCTCATCCTGAGGGGCAGATTCTACAATGTAGCCGTCCGTTCAAGGCTAATGTACACGGATATGAAACCTAACTAATCAGATTAACAGGTGTGGAGAAGCCTGTTACGTTTGACCGCTGGTGCCTACGCAGCCTAGCTTATATCTGATTGGGGCAGCGTATGAGAAATGAGCGTGCTCGACGCCTTATTTATAGCACAGAAAGAAGTGAACCACTCAGCACCATTATCTCGCAGCAGGCTCCGATGTCTAGGCCTTGTGTCACACACCATACCGACTCCCGCGGCGTGTGTTGTTGGCGGGACCGGGGTCGGTGTGGAGGGGAAGCCAACCGATGATTTGGTCAAGAGGAATGAAGGCTCTCTCTTCGAGGTTGGAGCGTAATGAATCCCGTATTAAGTTGTGAAAGACGATGTGCACGTTTGGTTGGAAACAGTCGTCAACTTGGCGAAAACCGATTACAATGGCGTCCGTATTCGTAATTTCTTTATCTCAGCCCATCGCGCTTAGTTTCCTCTTCCATGCCATGAACTCGTTTCAATGCACCATAAGACATAGTACAATGACATATTTGTCGCATTTTTTTTCTTTTTTGTTGTCACCTGATTGAATTGTAATGCGACACAATACCTGGGGTGTTCCTTACCACTAGCTAATGAGTAGAATGGTGATCATGACTGTCGCAGAGAAACTTGAGGTGCAGGAAGGAGCATAGTCCCGCGACACATGTCGGTGTAAGAGAGCGAGTGAAGGTTAAAAAAACGCAGGTTTCATTGCTTAAACGGTCAACGAATGCACGCAAGCAAGATATGATATTGGAATGTGCAATCAATGCGGTAGCTACGGATAGGCGAAACCGATGGAGAACTGAGCACGTTGTAGGTAAGTAGATTAGGCTTATCCCATCAGTCCTTTGTTCTGTATTTGATTCATACATCGACGATCATCTGCCGGAGGATCACAAGACTAAAGGAATTGTAAAATACAGGAAGCATTAAATGCGCTGAAGAGCAAAGAAAGATGGTCACCACCAACAGATACTGCGCCAAAGAAGATAGACTCGAAAGGTCAGCAGGCCATCTCCTAAGAGGGCCACAGGGACGAGACTTGTATCTATAAAACAAATAAACGCACAGTGAATATGTGATCCTGCCGAAAAGGTTTGTCAGTGGGACCTATCGTTGGTGTATTAAGCATTTGGCGCACATCCGAACCTGCCCCTTCCGGCTCGAAATCAAAAACGGAGACATGACGAGCTAAGAAAAAAATATTACGTCGAGTAACGACGAGGACAGACAGATAAGAGACAATGTGGGCTGAAAACAATTTACAAGGAGTAAAAGCGAGATCTCCCACAACAGTAGGAACGTGAAACGGCGCAAGAGCAGTGACAAAAGCTCTGTAAGTAGATGACGATACGTGGCCAAGCAAGTGAACAACCCACCAGGGAGCTCAGTTGAGTTCATGCAAAGGTAAAAAGACGGGCCAAGTGATTGGTCGAAAGAATGAATCTAAATGAAGTTCAGACAATGGTGAACAAATGTGCAATGGACAAAATGCGTCTGTTTGGTGTAAACTAAAACCGTCTTGCCCAAAAGCAAAGGGATTTGATACAGTCTAGATGAGTCAGAAAAAAGAACTGAAGGAAGGGTTTGGATTGAGAGGGAAGTAAGGAGCCCAAGAGGGTGGGATCACAACTTCAGCATCAAATAACAAGATGCATACAATGAGGAAAAGAGATAGCCTCTAAAAGTATGTTCTGGATGTGGCACGATGAATTGGACGTCATTTATGGTTAGTCTTAGTTTCAGGCTGGTAAGTAAAATGTAGTAGGTATGCGCACGTATGGAAGGGTACAGGGGAGTAAAAAAGTAGTATGCATTCATATCATTTCTAGTGTGAACCGGGTAGATGCAACATATGCGAATTTGACTGCATAGCACACCAAGTGCTGTATCACACAAGCTTACGAGCACACGTGCGCGCACACATTGGCTATCTATCACACTCATTTTATGGATGAATGAGAGACAATCAGTGTGGGGCGTTTTGATGAGGTCAAGGTAAACATTGTGTGCCCATTTGAAAAATAGACCACCTAGATACCCAACACGCTGACGATAAAACTGAGCTAACTTAAACCCAGTGCAGTGGACTGATGAGTTGTGCCTAGCTGAGGCCTATGAGAACAGCCTCCCTCCTCTTCTTCTTCCTCCTCACCGTCCCCTTCTTCCTCATCCTCCTCCTCCTCCTCGTCCTCCTCTTCTTCAGAGTCCAACTGCGTCGCAGTGTGGCTTTGTGTGGAGTTGCTGGATTCCCGCAGGGTGGATGGCCCGTACCGGTAGCTCGTTGAACGAGAGAGCGCAGTTGTAGCGCCGTTGGAGGAGAAAGACAAGTGACGCGCGTCATGATGATGCTCATTAGGAAGATGAAAGTTGGTGGTGGCTGAGCTTGTGGTAGAGATACTGGGGAAAGCAGCGAGCCCCATTGAAGTGGAATTGACCGGAACAGATGGAGAGCCTAGATAAGGGGAGTAAGGTGAGGAAACTGGTGTGGTGACTGAGATAGGTGTGGGCACAGAGGTATTTGGGCTGGTTACAGACTTGGTAAGCGAAACAGACTTAGCCGGAGAAAATTCTTTCACTAAGTTGCAGGTATCACCACCTGCACCAGGGCTGATCCACATTGTCATGCCGGCAGCAATGGGGTTGGATGCCGCTCTATTTCTACACATCCGCCGCTGATGAGAAATGAGGCTGTATTTCTGCCGAAAAGCTTTACCACATTGGTAACACTTATGCGGCTTCTCCCCAGTGTGAGTGCGTAAATGCTGCACCACATGGCTTTGCTGCCGAAACAGTTTACCGCATAAGCGACAGCCGTATGGCCGCTCGCCACTGTGTACGCGCATATGAGTTGTGAGTTGTATTTTTTGTTTAAACGCTCGACCACAGTGAACACAAGGATACGGCCGCTCATCCGTATGGGTTCGCATATGCTGCACAAGACCAGCTTTCACAGCAAAGCTACGTGAACATGTGACACATTGATACGGACGCTCCGTGCTTGCTTCCATTGAGAGTTCTTTGCCGTCTGTACCGTTTGTGGGTAGATATACGGAGTGAATACCCGAGACAAGGTTGTTTCCACCGGCCTGTGTGTCTGGTTTGTTAAAGTTGGAAAGCTGATTTGTTGGGTTCGAACCGGATATGACTGGGGGAAATCCGAAACCAAAAGCGGCAGCAACAGCGGCCGCAGCCTGCGCTTGTGCCTCAGACGCAGTAGCTTGGATATTGGGAGGGTCGCATCGTCGATCTAAGGTGCAGTTTGCCTTGGCACACGCGTCGAGGGAAGAAGGTTGAGAACGTAGCGTTGGCGTGTGAGATGTGAGATTGGGGGAGAAAGTCAGTCGGTTACTGAAAGGATTGTTGTACAGTGACGTTGGAACGGCCAACCGGGTCAGTGCGTCGTAGGAAGAGCGATCGGCAGGGGGTAACAGGAAACTTGACGGTCGACTATTTAAAGGTTCCGGGTCGGGATCGGGCCTGTATGTGCAAGAAAAACAAAAAGTTCAAAAAAGCGCTGAATGAGAGGAAACAACTTCAACAAAACAACGTTGAAGCTGTATGTAAGATACTAAATGCTACGCCCCGTTTAATTATAAGGTTACTTTCCCACTAGCAAAGTAACGAGCATCTAGACGTGGGACTGAATGCAGCGAAACTGGAAACGTAAAAATCTCAGGAAAGTTCCAAATCTACCCGGACCTGAGTCCCGATTGATGGTCTCGCAGAGCTATCGAAAAATGAAAAAAAGCTGTGGGTTATTTACATTTCAAACAGGGACTTATCCTTTGTTTCGCTGTAGTCCTGCGATTCGTGTAGTTTCATAGCACAAACATGTAACATGAAATAAATCCAAAGTATATTCCAGGAGTGGGATGGAGATGTAGTACCAGGTAACAAAGTGCAGGTGAATGAGTCATCCATGTCCTTTAAATATGGATGATGCAGAAATGACCGATTATGGAAGAGCAATTCCCGGGTGGCACAAGGGGACGGAGAGAAGTTCGTGCGGCAATCCAAGCGTCTGTATGTTCTGCCAGATTTAGTGAGTGACCTCTCAAGTTGGTTTTACTTCTGGGTTGCAGTAAAGAGCAGGACACATGATGTGAATCGTGCAGAATTAAGTACACTATTATTAAGTCACCACGTACGAGGCGGTAACGTCCGCTGAATACCCCCAACCACCACGCGGTCGCTTCCAGGCAGGTCCTTGACGAGTGAAGAGAGACGCAATCTATTTGTCATTTCTGCCTATGCTCCAACCGACTGCAGCTGTGCATCGGTTAAGGAGGACTTTTATCGTGGACTCCACAACCTTTTGAACAAGGCCGAAAAGTCAGATGTTATTGTGTTTGCCGGAGATTTGAATGCATGAGTACGTCGTCTGCTTCCATGCGAACGTCATCTTGGTGGAAGTCACGAGCTTGATGAGAGTCGTTCTGACAACGGTGATGGACTTCTCACGTTAAGCGAAGACCACCGTCTTTTTCTCTCAAGTACGAACATTAGGTATATCAGAAAACGTGCAGCCACCTGGCGTCCCCCTTCACCAACGCATGCGTGGACACAAATAGGTCACATTGCAATCAGCATTAGATCGCGAGACAGCGTCCGAGACTGTAGATTGATTTGGTCTATGTACCTCGATTCAGATCATGTTTTGTTCTGCACGGACCTCTGCATGCTCTTCGGCGGTTGCTCAAAACGAAAGCACAATAAGATCGACACCGACAGGTTGGTTGACCCCACTATTCGATTAGCGTATCAAGCTTCCTTGTCGCATGCATTCATTAGTACTACATCTCAAGGAATCGAAAATCATTGGAGTTCCTGCATGAAGCGTTGCTAACTTTCAGTCATTCAATCTGCGGAATCACAAAGTGCCCACTGAAGGACTGGAGCTCTGCACACACTATAATTGTTTAATCGTCGCAGAGCTACCACATCCGATTCAAACAGCAGTGCAATACGTCGCATCCTCATTCAACAAATTAAGCATAGGTTGCGAGTTGATCGCGAAATTTGGTGGTCCCAACGGGCCACAGAGATGGAAACAGTAGCCCACTCTGGAAAATTTTGCAAGCTCTTCCAGGTCATACGGACCACTGGTCACAAAAGATCTGGTGTCAGGTCATTTGCGAGGATGAGGAAACGCCGATCACCAACTTACACAGGCGGATGGACCACTGGGCTGAACACTTTTGCAGTCCATTCAGCTGGTCTCCATCGCCGGCGAGCCCAATAAGTATACCTAGTTGCGCGCCTTGGAACGTCTCATTGGAACCACCCACGGAAGCTGAGGTTTGGCTGGAGCTCCGCCACTTGAAGCGATTCAAGTATGCTAGCCAAGACGACTTCCTCCGGAGCTGTTCAAGTTCGATGGCGAAGCAATTGTCAAACGGCTAACAGCCTGTTCTCTAAGATTTGGTGTGAAGAAACAACTCTATCAGCTTGGTGTAAGACAATTATCGTCCCGAACTTCAAGAGGGGTGCCCATACCCCATGCGTAACCGCCGAGAAAGCAGTCTAATGTCCATTGTTTCGAAGCTGCTAACATAGATTCCACTCAACAGACTAACCCCGATTGGATAACTGAGCTAAAGTCGCCCCGGTCGAGGGTGTATAGACCATCATCATCGTCATCATCATGCATTGTCTCACTTATGTTTCATATTATGACTTGTTAGCCAGGCGCTACAATACGCCATCAAACGGAGTCTTACCAAACGTCTAATCAGTGGATTTATGGGTTTACACGTATAATACGACAACTTCTCCGCTATTCCACATAAGTCTATAGTGAGTTCACCACAACACTTCAATTTATCATTCAACTGATTTTCGAAATAATTTCCATCATACGGGACTCATTACGCAATGCTTTTTTAACCCTAATAAACAATTGTTCCATCGTCATTATCATCACCAAAACAATAATAATCATCATCATCATCATCAACAGCAGTACATCAGCCATTTGAACTGATACTTCGCTGCCATACAACCATAACGACCTATGAAATAAAGAATAAGAAGAGGGAGAGAAGGGGGACTGACCTGAAAACCTTAATGCCCTAAGCAAACATTCAGGGTCAAGGCGCCTACACCTTGTCAACAACATACCGTCACAAACAGCTGGCTATCGTGCAAAGATAAGGCGGCATCCGCAAGACAGCTTGCTTGCGGCTTTCACTGCCACGCGTCATAATCAGCCATTACCCAGCAGATAACTCAGCACCAAACACACTTTAAACAGGCAATCTGATTAGGAGACGGCAGCGGACGCGCCACTGGTGTCTACTGCGAGCTATGTCCTGTAAAGTCTCGAGCCAAGCACAAGGCGAGTCACGTGGACTCCAGCCCGGAAGGCGAGACGGATAAACGGCACCCAGTTTGGTCGTCAGTGACTTCATTTCCCGCTGCCAAGTCAACTTCTGTCCACCGCGAGCCTTGCGCCACCCTACACCTCGCAGACTAAACAAGGCCCTCCTAGGTAAGCGGTGACCAGGCATACATAGCACGTGCCCGAACCAACGCGACTTATTCAGTGCTATCTGTTGTTCCAGGGAGCTAGCATGATTATCACCACCTAGTACTCGCCTACGTACATCATCGTTGCGGACACGCTGGTGCCATCCGACTCCAGCAATGCTTCGCAGACAACGATAATCAAAGAATTGAAGGCGCCTCAGATCTGCAGACCGAATGGGCCAAGTTTCACTACCATACAGCAGAACGGTCCTCACTGTGGCCTTGTATACACGGCCTTTCAGACCAAGGGAAACTCCCTTCTGTCGCCAAAGATGCCGCAGGTTCAAGAAGATAGCTCTGGCTTCTGCAATGCGTGAGCTGACTTCAGTTTCAATGCGCCCATCATTGCTGACGAAGCTGCCAAGATAAGTGAATTGATCAACCACCTCGAGTTCCGCGTTAGCAAGCGTCAAGGGGTCATCAAGTGGCTGGTGGTCTTGCAGCAACACTTTGCACTTCGAAGGTGCGAAGTGCATATCTAATAATGGGACCACTCTGGACAGGCTATTCAGGGTTGATTGGGCCGCCCCAACATTGTCGAAAAGCAAGACGATAACGTCTGCACAATCTAGATCAACTAACCTTTCACCAGGCAGCACTTCAACGCCTACATCATGAGATTCCGCAAGGGAACACTCCATGATAGAATCCACGGTGAAAATGAACAAAAATGGGGAAATCGGACAACCCTGACGAACGCTACTTGTGGTCGGAAAGCTACCCGATAGGGCACCGTAGACGCTGACGCCGTCTGTAGTGTTCGAGTATAGAGCACGAAGGGTGTTCACATATTTCGTGGGAACGCCTTTCCGCGCAAGTATTTCGAACAGAATCGATCGGTCGGCTGAATCGAAAGCCCTCTTGAAATCGAGGAACGCAGCTATTGTCCGTCTGCGGTATGCGTGGCGCTGCTCCAGCACCTGCCGCAAAGTGGTCTATACAGCCACGTCCTGGGCGGAAACTTGCCTGCTCCTCCCTAATCCGAGATTCCCGTTCTGCAGTGAGGCGACGAACGATAATCGAGGCCAGTAATATTGTCACAAATGGCGTTAGGCTAATACTCCTGTGGTTAGAACAGTCTGTGCGATTGCCCTTCTTGTATATTGCCACTATAATGGATTCGCTCCAATTAGCCGGCACACTCTCTTCGTTCCAGATACGTTCGAATATGGAGGTCAGTGCTTTGCAGAGGACCTCACCTCCACATCCTTAGATATTGAAGGTAAGAGGGAATCCGGGCCAGCGACACGAAAACGATTAACGGCTGTGATCGCGTTTCGGACGTCGGCCTCCCACGGAGGCTCTAAACTAACCGTCCATGGTTCGTCCTGCATCACCTGAGTAGGAAGAGGTCCGGGAGCAGGGGGCCAGCTGAACTGATCTTGAAAGTGTTCCGCTCAACGAGGCATACGGCATTCCTTATTGTGTATCAGCGCACCCGCGCTGTCTCTGATTGTCTCACCGACGCCTAGTTTCCTGGGACCAGTGGTGCGGATTAGCTGGAAGAGCTTGCAGTAATTGCCTACTGCTCCTGCCTCCTCCATTTCTTGAACCCGACTGGTCCACCAGGCTTCCTTGTCAGCACAGAGGTTCTGCTTTAATGCACGCCTAATAGCCCGTCTAGTCACATTGTGTTCCGAGCCGGCCGGGAGGTGTCTTCTAGATTCCAACAGGTTCACTGAGCTCTCGGATATCCAGTGACTGGTGCGGTGACGACTGATAGTGCCACAAGCAGAGGCTCCTGCGTCGTGCATGGCGGCCGAGATTCTATTCCACTGAAGCTCAATGTTGTTAGGACAAGACAGCGGAAGTTCGGTATGCAGTGCTTCTTGATAGGCTTGCCTGACGGAAGACTGAGACAATTTCTCCGTTGCCAATCGTAGGGGACGGTTGGTGCGCCTCCCGGTAAAGTTCATGGAGAAACAACAGTGTACCAAGGCATGATCACA